TGAAAACAGGAGAGGAAGTGGAAATTGCTAGAATTTCTGTGCTGGGCCTCTGGGCAATTTCTGTGCTCATGGGCCTCTCCAGGGCCAGGTGGCCCAAAGCAAGGACCCAGTGGGGGGAACAAGTCCTGTGAGTCTTCAGGTCACCTCACCTGCCAGTTGTTAGAGAAGTATCTACTGCACAGGGAGACGTGTGAAAAAGACCTGTGACTTGTACCCTCAAAATTCAAACTGGACAAAATACACTTGTAATTGGCTTTATAGAATGGCTCCCGAGTCGGCAGCATCCTGTCTGGGTGATCCATCCACACAGAACAGAGGGTGTTTACAGTCAGAAAGCAGGGGCACAGGTTATTAGCAGGAGAGGTCATCTGGGTAAAACCAGCTTCTGGAGGGCGGGTGGGGGGGGTCTTACGCAAATAACCTCACAGGGCTGCCAGGGAACTGCATGCTCAATGGTTCTCGAGATCACTTTGGGGAGCGGGTCAAGCACCCTGCCTTCAGTCCCCTGACCCCTCTCTGGCTGCAGAAAATCTAGTCACCCTTCCAGAACCTTCCCCAGAATCAGCACACCAAATCAGTCCATCAGTCACGGAGTCAGATCCTGGCTCGGCCACTGCTTTCCCAGGACCCTGGGTCACTTTTGGAATCAAGACCACTTTTGAGTCTTGACAGAAGATTTCCGTGGAGAAACGGTGGCAGCGTGCCAAACCTGTGGCAAATGCTGGCTGATGCCTTATTTATCAGAAACAGCCCTTTCTGGGCTCCAGGCTCTGGACCACGAGTGCTACAGATCTCGGCGTAACACACCCTCTGCCCTTTCCCGCCGGCCTCCCGCCTGGCCTTGGAACTCACTGCATCATCGGGTGCATCTCCCCCCACCCCTTCGCTCTGTGGGGTCCTCCCTGTCTGTCTAAGTCCTTCCCACTTGCTTTGCTGCGCTTCTTCCCTTTAAGCTCCTTTGCTCTTGCTATCAAACGTGTCACCTTTTCATAACGGCTGAGTGATCCCGGCGCCAGGCCACGTCTCCTTGGTCTTGCCCTTGCGGCCACTGCCCACGCAGAAACTGCAGCAAGGTCACCTGTTAACTTCCCTACAAGATTCTTCTCCAGTCTTCCGGAGACTGTCCCTGGTTTCCCTGTGTCTCACGTCTCTCACCAGTCTTTCCTGAGCACGCCTGTCATCTGGGACAGCAGGCACAGGCCTCTGAGCCCTGGAAGGTGTAGTCCGTAGGGAACCCCGAGTCCACTAGGGAACCCCGAGTCCTCTGGCCAAGCCTGAGCTCTTCCCCTCCGGTCACTGCCCGCCAAGCCGTCCCGCCGCCTGGCTCTGCCTTTATGTACAACATGTCCCTCCTCCAGGGACCTACAGCCCCTAATTCACAATCCTCACGACCTT